GGAATCAAATGGAATCAAATGGAGTGGCAAGCTTCGTTGACGCGAAAAATAATACAATTATCTAGACTGTTTGCGACTTCGAGGAACGGAATTCGAGGAACAGCAAGACGCTGTTCAATTACAGGGACAGCAGAGTCTCGAGGGTGACACGTCGTCTCGTCTTTGATAAAAGAAATTTCTGCGAGGAAAACGAGATGTTGGAATTTCTTTTGGTATGTTTCCTTCCAAGTAAGTAAGCTAAAGTTGGTCTCGAAAGGAAGAATAGAAAGAACACAGATGACACCTGAGCGATCGGTAAATAAATCAAATTAGTTAGACACGGTGATGGATAGTTGCCCCCCCCCCCCGGATCCTTAACGTGCGCCACGTGTGTGACTAGTGCTCCAGATTCGCGAGCCATTGCTAGCGATTGCAACAATCTCGATGCTGATGCCCTCAGGGTCTCAGGACAACACGGATTCCCATATCCGCGAGCGCTGGACACGCCAGCCAGCTTAGAAAGTAAACTTCTATGCAACAGGGTTACGCCGTCGGCACTTGCCTGCTTAATTATTTAATTATGCGAGCCATGCTGGCAATAACCGTGTCACCGAAACTGGCAAACATCTAACAGCCCTAGCGTAGCGTGATGCTGGATGGATATTTTGACAGTTTGAAACGTGAAAGAAAATTTGAATTTGAAAAGATAAAGAATAAAGCACGTCGGTTGTTTAGTTGAAATGTACAAAGTCAAATGTATGCGTAAGACGAAAGTCATTCCTAGAATGATATCATTTCTCAGCATTTATCTATCGGGGTCCGATAAATTATTCATTCTGTCATTTATTATCTAAAAAAAGGTTACAGTGTGTGTACGCGAGTATTGTATTTGAAGGAACAAAAAAGAATTTGTATTGCGTTATTTGAGTTTGTTATTCCAACAGCGCCAGACATTGAAACTACAACCGCAAATTTGTTCAGTTTTGTCGAAAATTTCGATAAAATCTACAATCATGTATCATTGTGACAGCTGCCTCATTAAAGACTTCCTTGCCTGATGATTGATTTTAAGAGACAATAACATGGTCATGAATTGAACGTCCAACAGTTCCCATAACGCTGTCAAATCAAGACGCGTTAAGTTAAAATACAGTTGTACTCAAGGATTACTTGGTTCGTTACGTCAATCGTGATTCGAGATTAACGCGTTACGAAATGCGAAGCATAATGGCAAGTCAGCCGCGAAAGGCCGAGGCATCTGCTCGTCGAAATTTGCGCACGTTTGTTAACGTAATAGTTGCCCCGGCTCGAAAAGATATTTTCCACGGAAGCACGGGCATCGCCGTGAATCTATCAAGTGTTCCGGTAAAACGCGTATCAAGCACGCGCGCACACACACACACACACACGTACACACACAGAGAATTGCGAGCTAGCTGATGCCTAGATGCATGCATAGACTTTCATCGCGAAAGCGTGGCGATAGTTATAGAAAATTGTATTACATCCCGGAAGAAGAATAAACGCGCAGGTTACCGCAATCGGGAATCGGTGCCTCGTAAAATCTTGTATTAAACAGTTCGTAGCTAAATTGCACTGCATTGCATGGCTCGTGTTCGCAGCCAAAACCATACCGTTTCCCTTTTCTTCTTTGTCGAACGGGAAATCTCTCTGCTACGCAATTCGGCTAACGATATCGCAACGATATCCGCTCTTTCTTCAACGATTTCCATCTGATTTCGATCCCAAACTCTTATCGCAATATCTATCTCGAAATTAAAGGATCACCCTTCCAATGCGTTCAAACGTGTAAGATTCTGAATTCTGAAGCTTGCGTTCATTGTTTCCGCTGTTTTTAAGATAAATAATTGGTAAATTACCATTTTTTAAAATTGGATATCATTGAATTCTCCAAAAGAACATAACAAGAGGATTTATAAAAGAAATTCCTTTGTACAATTTTTATTGCAAAGCGACGGGTTGATTTAATATTTGCAGAAAATTTAAATTCAATTTATCTATCTAAAAGTCTAATTTTATGCTTTTAGAGGTCATCATCGATTGAATAATTCCCCTAATTTTGCTTATGGCAAAGTAATGATTATTTTATTTATCTGTCGCTTATTTTTCATGCATAGGTTTCACAGTAATTTTCAATGTATTTTTTTTAAATTTGCAATAAAAAAAAATGGTGACGTGCACTAGAGGGCGCTTCAGTAACACTAACTAATGTGTAACAAATGGCCGCCGCCTCAAAAAACAGTGTTGACCTTGTGAGAAAAACTGTATATCTCAGTTTTTGATCTAAATTCAAAATTTTCACACGTTTAACTGTGCCAAGTTCGTGATATGCTGTCTCTAGATAGCAATGGAGCTCATCAAGACGAGGTATACGACTTTCAGTATTGATTTCAAAACATGTATTCTTCAAATTATAGGTTATATCATTTGTTACTGACAATTTTTTGCTTATGTATATTTTCAAATATATAACTTTCGTCACCTTTTTTTTAAAATCGTTTCTCTATCTTGCGAAAACGATGTTAAGATTATTCGATGTCTTGTATGTTTCTTGTTTATGTTATCTCAACATATGACATTATTATATTTTCAGTATAATGTATTGAAAATAAATTTTACTGAAAATAACGTACGATAGTTCGCATTTCTATTTATTAATAAACTGATCCTCTTCCAATACCTTATACATAGAAATCTTCGTGATAATGAACCGTAATAGACTAGAAAACATTTTTTTAAGGAAACAACCAGCGAAAATGGTTCGGATGATTATCCAAGAATACCCGTGTCCATGGATGGACCAAAAGAATGGACTTACACAATGAGAAGACATATGCAGGTATGCAACTCTAAATGTAAATTTAGTTAAAATGAATATTTTTGTTTAAATTAATAGTCAATCTACGTTAGGAAGTAGTACCTGGATTGTATCTTGGACCATATAGCGCAGCTAGCCGATCAAAACTGCAATCTCTGTTAGAACATGGTATAACTCATATAATATGTGTTAGGCAGGATATAGAAGCAAATTTTATAAAGCCAAATTTTCCTGATAAATTTAAGTAAGTGAGACTTGATTCAACTTTTGGGAGTTTTAAAAACGATCCAATATATTTCTAGTACTCTGTGATATGTATGTTACAGATATCTTGTTTTGAACATTGCTGATACAGTTACGGAAAATATCATTCAGCATTTTCAAAAGGTAAAAGCATTTATCGATGACGGTTTAAACTCTGGTGGTCAAGTCTTAGTACATGGTAATGCTGGTATATCAAGATCCGCAGCATTAGTTTTAGCATATGTTATGGAAACATATGGACTTTCTCAAACGTAAATTTGTATATTTCTCTTTCCGTTCTCGTTTCTTTTATTGTGAAACTTTTTAAACTTTTTAAACGAATACGATACTTTGCAGACGTGCATATGCTCTTGTACAACAAAGAAGGTTTTGTATAAATCCTAACGAAGGTTTCATGGCACAGTTGAGAGAATACGAACCAATATATCAAGCTCAAAAAACGTTAAAAAATGGACAACAAAGTTTATCAAGGCAAAGAACAAAAAGAACAATCCATCAAATAGATACCGAGAGGACAGAGGATAAATGCGATGGAATGGACAGCTGATATTTTTGTAGTAAATGCTAAAGGTACCAGAAGACTTACTCTAAATTAGATAAAGGAAATAAACTTTTTTACGTTGTCGCGTTGTGAAAAATATACGTGCAGAGACATTATCTAATGAAATTAAAAATTATATTATTTAATTTTAATATGTAGGAATTTAAAATTTATCGCAGCATAATCATCTAGATATAAATGGAAGCAATTGTTTATTTAGGCAAACAAAATATTTAAGGATTGATAAAATTTTTCTTAAATTTAAACTGTATGTATGTACTGCATTAATTTAGCAATATTTACAAATTAATGGGATTTAAACCACTTTTATATTATATCGTAAAACACTATTGCGAATTTTACTTTTTATTTATTGAGAATTTAAATTTATAGTTACGTATATATGTTATTGACAAAAAATACGCTTATTATTTATTGCTAAAATACGACATTATATTTTTATTTTTCACGTAATGTAATTTTAATAATAATAAAAAAAAAGATCTATATCAAACTTTTAAGATAATTCCAATTGCAAAAAGCGTGGAATTCAATTTTTTAATCTTACTGTATAAGTTTTGTAATATATGTATTGTTGTCCAGCAAGTAGAATTACGATAGATCGTAGTTTAATACCATCTATTTAATTCGTGCCGGGATTAACACGCAAATAATGTCTTCGTTATTTTCATCCTTGAGTTCCCACTTTACGGTAACACTCACCTGTAATTTAACGATTTAAATAACTGATTGATAACTGATTTGTATTGCAGCATGAGATGTAGCTTAACAAATAAACTGTCACTCCGTTGTACCTTGGGATAGGCTTTTAGCACTGCTAATGTATTTTTATAGTGCAACGTGTCTCCCTTTTTCAAGGGGCATTGAATGCCAGAATCAGCCGTTTGACAAGCATCTGGGTTTGGCAATGGAAAAGGTATTGGAACGTCCATCACAATACCATGTACGACCGCAACAACTTTCGAAATATCTTTATCTGTAAAAGCATGTTTAATCTTTTTTAACTGTTTCATCTCGAAAAGCAAATGAAGAAATGCATAGTCGTTAATGTACGTACTAACCGACTGTAAAATCGATCTTAATCGTTGCATTTGTATCTGGTATTAACTCGCATACACTTTTGCTCATGTCACAGTCTAGAGTTATGGACGTAAATTTGCCGACTTTCGAGCCTGCGTGAAGAAAATTGTAATATAATGAATGAAGAACGTGGCATCTTGGTAAATTATTCCTAGATTGTTTCGCCACGCAAAAAATCACACATATGTCAAATCGATGGAAAAATTGTTGCATACATTCGTATTGTGTTATGCACGTGTTATGCATACAAAAACACGTTGATTGAATTTTTGTTTTATGATTAATCGTAATTGAATGTTAGTGATAATTGCATGATCGGTAGGTATATAAATATATACGTGCGTCCTTAATGTAAACAGATTTTCACATTGACAATTATAGAGGAGTCGTAATCTCGTGACTTTGAATTTCTCAGACAAGAATTTCCGCCATTTTTACGATCGTATGTTATTACATCAATTGCAAGCCACCTAACCGATTATTAAGTGGCATCCTATTCGGTAGAGGAATTTTTTTTCTCAAAACGAAGAAATAACTTTGCATTTATTTTTAGCGATTTATTTCTATTGATTATATTGTGAAGAAAAATGAAATTTGAGTGATCAGCTGTATCAAATCATCATCCTTGACGCGGATAAAAATGAAACGTATGATTGTGATAAATTGCGAAATTTAAACAACTAAATGTCCAAAATATCCAAGTACGTGATTTCTAGATTTCTTTGAATTCCTTTTGTCCTCGTAAAAGAACGAACAAAGTGAAGAGGCCTCGTTCGAAACAAAGGAATCGTGATTGTACACGTATGTATTTGTTTACCGATAATGTGTGATTCAACGTTATTTAAAAAAGATAAGTGATGCTATTGAAATTCCCAATTTATTATTATCTTCGTATATGTTATAATATTGCAAGTAATTAATAAGAAATACACATACCCAATATTTTACACTGTACATTTACCGCCAGTTTTTCTTTTACATGTTACTGACACAGCACAAGAAAGTTAACTACATACAGAGCATTGTCAAGATAAGTGACTTCGAGGTTTGGAAAAAAGAAAAAAAAAAAAAAACGAGCATTGTTCGTGACTGTTGCGTCCTTCTTTTCTCACTTTTCTAAGTAAACATGTTCAGTGGTGGAAAAATATATTCATCGATCGGATGTAATTAAAAAACGTAATGAAATCAAGACTTACCACAATCATTGATGTCAACGGCTTGGCAGGTTGGCGAGAAGCTCAAGCAAAATAGGGCGAGAATTGTAGCAATCATTCGATGCATGTTGCTCGTTTGAAGTCCGCGCAGCTATTAAACTTGTGCGGAGCTCTATATCGAAACAAACATTTTTGTCTGCTACTGTGAGCAAGCATCGCGTCACTCACACCGTCCTCAAATTACGTATCTTACGTCTAATGATAAACGTGGTACACATGCAACATGATTGACGCTACTTTGCAAAATATTGAATCAAAAGGCAAAATTTGAATGAAACGTGAACGAACGTCAATTATTCAGTGTATTTATCACTGACTGAACTGACTGAAAGATAAAAATTGCCATTTTTGCGTTGCAACGATTCGAGTCGAAACGGAATTTTCTTATGAAAAATTACAAACAAAATGCAGAACAGGGTAGTTTACAATCGCAAACAAACTACAGTGTTCTATATATCTGTTTAGTAGTTGTTCATCCGGTATTACGATGTCGTTGATTAAAACGGCGAATTCTTAATGTTTTTCAATTATTCACGCGACGTAAATAATGGTTCATTTTTAAATTTAAATGTCTCGTTTTTTATGGCTCTATATGTTTCTCTTATCCATAAAAGATCAAGCTTGTTTTCAACGCACAAACTACTTTTACTGTGGAATTATAAGCCAATTTTCATTTCGCAATTTTCTAGATTTATTATTTAAAATTAATTCCATGGTTTGTTCAGTTTTTCTACACAGTCTGCTTGGTAGGTAGTATCGAAATAAATTACGTAAACTTATGTTAAATCTCTTACGTTATACAATTTGATTCATTTCGTAAATTTTTAATCAATTTTATAAACCATAAGCGTATGATCTGCATAGACTCATTTTGGTGTTCTGCAGAATGACACACTCTCCCTCTTAAAAAATAAATAAAAAATATTTTTTCAGAACATAATATAATACATAGTTTGCAAAATATTACATATCATTATACTCGAACAAATGCTTCGAATGTGTCAACAAAAATTTGCAAATTTTTGAGGTTAGATATTTTCAAGAAAATTAATCTTAGGATCTAATCGGGAGGGCAGAGATAAAAGTTTGTAAATTAATTTTCTTACTGCCTTTTCATTAAAAATAAAAACTTTGACTCATGGACTCTGAAACGCTAGCGCCACGTAGCGACGAAACTGGAATCAATATTCTTGTCGCACATTATCGCGTTCTTATCGTCTACCATTGCGGCGGCGCGCGTATTTTTAAAACGAGTTTAACAACGGCGACGTTGATTGCAAATGAAGAAAAAAAAAGATAAAATAACGGAAAATATATTGTATTCTCAGTTGTTAAAAATCAACCAAAGCAAGCGGTCCTCAAAGATTTTGCTACACATAATTATTGTTACAGTTTCTTGTTGAATCTTGTAATGTACTTATTTAAAGGAGTAAACTTCCATACCATCAGGCAAGGTGCTGCCATCTATTCGATTCATCTGGAATTATCATCTGGCGGGACGAGGCGCGAATTTTTCCATTTTGTCCTTTTAGTTTCAATTGGAAATGAAAAGTGCAAGTATCGTC